AAAAAAAAAAAAAAAACACCAACAAGATTGCCAGCCACTAACTAACGGGGAAAACGTTATTTGCCTCTGTGGTTGGCCAGAGATTGGAAGAGGAGAAGCATGCAGCACAGAGGAAGAAAAAAGGAAGAAAAAACAAAGGAAAATCGCAGATGCATTGCAGAAGGGGAAGGGACGACCGCCATGAGGATGCGGGCTGTAGGGGACCTTATATGGACCGATCTCGGTTCGTATAAATGTGACAATGGGGCCCAACGTCTCATCGGTTCAGGGAATCTTTGACACTTATTTTTAGACCGATTTTGTACTGAATATCCATAAATATTCAGATTGGTAACGATTCGTAAATTCAATAAATCTCGGCACTTTACTCTTAATATATATCGACCGATTTTGGTCCATATATCTTTATTTGAATAATATTTTATTTCTAATTTTTGTTATTTAATATTTATTATTTACGAAAAAATATTTGGACCATCTTCGGTCTGAAATTTATGGATATTCAAACCAAAATCAAGCCGAATATTAAATGAGGATCGGCATTTCTGAGTTATATATACGAATCGAATACGGTCCGTCTATATTCGTTTAAATAATATTTTATTTTTAATTTTTTTGTTATTTAATATTTATTTTTTACGAAAAAATATTCGGACCGTCTTCAATCTGAATATTATTGGCACGTTTACATTGTTAATTCTTGCCATAAATATACAGATTGAAACTAATCTGAATATGTTGACGGATGAATATGGTACCACCTTAATATATTCAGACCGATATTGGTTTGAATTTATGTTTATACGGATAGACATTATTCGGTCCGCATATTGTCGATTTGAATTAATCCTTTTTCTAGTAGTGATATTTACATATATTACTCTTAGAAAAAAGTTAAAAATAAAAAAAAATGTGATAGAATAATTAATTAAAATAAATAAATAATGATAAAGTTAAAGTAGAGAAAAAAATATTTACCTGCCTTAAAAAAAAAAAAGACAATTAATTTGGAATAAATTCAATGTTAAAAAATGACAATTATTTTGGAATGAAAAGAGTATCTCCTTAAATATGCATTAGTCATTAAAACAAACTAAAAATATTAAAAAAGAAAAATATTTCCAATCAAAATGCTCATAGAGGATTCATATATTTTATAATAACCAAAATATATAAATCATTTATAGAAATAAAATTCCAACAGCATCTAAAAACTTGAAAATTATATAGTTAATTGTCGAGTTTTTAAATAAAACCAAGAATATGAGACAAAAACTCTCTTAATCTTAGTATCTTCCGTTATTAAAAAAGATTTCTACTTTAACCATTAAACTATAATATATACATATATATATATCCCATAATTAAAAAAAATAGAC